ATATAGCTTTTTCAAAACACATTCTAGTTGTTCCAGATCATTCGCACATCTCGGAAAAGTTTTGCGTTTTGGAAAAGACATGCTAAACTCAAGCAAATTTCGTAAAATAACGAACAGGTTGTAAGTTTTTGTAAAACTTATTCACTCCATAAATGCAAAGATCTCGTTTTGCTGAATGAACTGGCATTCAAAGTGTTCTTTATAAATGACCTTTTTATTAACGGTTTCAAGTTAAAAAAAACTATTTTATAAACTGTATAGAAGTCTCAGATAGTAGGACTAGCGCTTCGCAAGATAAATTTTGCATTGAACATCAAAAGTTGAGTTGTGGTCCAGCTCAGTAGGACATTAAAATAACAACTGTAAAAAACCACAAAAAATACCTATAGATAGAGCCATCATCGTACAACTGTTAAAATTTTTCAAAATTTTTCCGTCGATCTTTTCATAACAAAAAAAAAATCATATTGCTAATTATCGGAGAAACGAATCATGGAGGCAAGTGTTGTGTGAACAATTCCAAAGTACAACTCTTGACCAACATTCATCTTAAACTTACACCTTTTTTAGTACTTCCCAACTAGAGTACAAATGTTCCGGAAATGACATGTTGAAGAAATTCATACATTAATGTTCATAGCAAAGTCTAAATAAGCGAGATTCATCTATATTTTAAAAAAATTTCCTTTAAAAAATAAAGCAAGCTTAAGTCAAAACGACGACAGCCAATCTCTAACGGGACCTTATTTCGGAAAAAGAAGCTAGGAACTAAATGCTGGAAAGCATAGGCACAGTTGTCATTCTTTATTCTAATCCAAAATGTTAAGTCAAATTTTCAGGATAGAAACATGGATTCAAACGATCTCCTTCAACCAAATCTTGACGAGCTGTCAATTGAAAGGGCTGTTAAGTGAAGATGAAAGTCATTAAACATTCAGCTGCTGACCTAACCCTTATAAGGGCGGTTTCACAATGAGATGGGGACGCTTTTTCTTCTGATCCTAATGGATTGTCTAAAGTTGATAAATTTAGAGCGTAACACAAGCGTAGAAAACAATGGAAAGTGAAGAGATCTATTGCGCCATTCTTAGCGAATCCATTCAATCACTAGTTTTTTTACTAAGTTGAAGTGCTCTATAGTTCTTAAATTAGACAACAGGAAATAATGCGATTTTTACTGCAAAGCGTGATGAATTGAACCTTTTGCATCCAAGTGGAAGATCGGCTTAGAGATGAGAACTTTCATTCAGCTATCATTCCGTACAGCTTTTGGTCTCTCAGATAGTGAAGAAGAGTGGAGCTTTAGAGCAAGGAATGAGAAGAGGGAAGAGAACTGAGACTAAGCCTCCATGCGTTTCTTTGTCAAAGGTCCATTCTACATCCATAATTTGGTTATGTGGACAATAAAACTGATATAAAAGGCCAACAAAAACTTTATAATAATCAACAAAAAAGGAAACTCTTGTATGCATTTGCAGAGATATATTAGTTTTAGATTTGTTTAAAAAATATTTGTCAATATTTTGGTATTTCACGTTACAGGGTCCACTTGTAAAAAATGTAATGCACATCCGCTAAACGCTAATCTCTTTTGTTTAGCGCAACGCCTTATTCTGCTTGCACAGGCCAATAATTTGCTCTTTATGTAGGAAGTCATCAAGAAAAATCAAAATTCCTTTTTAAAATAAAATGACATTTGACTTTCATCCTTCTGATAGCCTTTGAGTTTGCTAGATGAATCAATGTGATGATCGAAGAGCTTTTATGATATAGAATCCCTATGCAACTTCTGAGATATTGCTTTTAAGCAAAAAAGAGCCATGGGCAAAAAGAGCGGAATGCAACACAATTATTACTGCAAGTGGACATACAAAGAAAGCTACGAAAACTCAAAAGCTTCTCTGAAGCAACCTGGGTGAGGGAAATTGAATTTAGACCTTATATCTTTGCTTGATTGTTTATGACTAAATAAGATCAAGCTTTATGCATCCTATATAAGAGCCATCTGAGGTGAGGAAGGTTCATTTGGCAACATATAG